TAGCAGTGTGAAAGTACTGTAATAATCAAATGGTGGCTGGATACAGGATCTTGCTTGGGCCAATGACAAAGACATCACATACCTTTTTCTGCAACCCTTTTGATATTACCTAATTTGTGATTACCCAACTTGTACACCACTCAATCAGTATCATGATAGTATATAATTCCTTTCCTAGGAAGAACCCCCCCCCCCCCCCCCCCCCTTTACAAAGGAGAAATTTATATTGTTAGTGCTAAACCGACCACAAATCTCGTCAGCTATACAACTTGCCTCTGTGAGGCAACTATAAATGTAACTACCGCGGCATCAGCAAGCCATTAGTGCATTACGTACTTCTATGAGGGGCCGTCTACGAGTACCTGTATGTTTTCATTTGAGAGCTAGAGACTTAAGAGTACAGTAGTAGAGTAGAGGCGCTAGATGAAGGATTTACTATCGAAGTTTTATCTAGGCATAATAAAATTGGACATACATCACTACTACTCACCTTAGTATCGGTCCTTTATAGGCTCTAATTGCACGCGTTCCTTATTGTACAAGTTTCGATTTCAAAACAATTCCTTACTATTTCATAATTGTTCGAAATCATTTGTCGTCTACTCTCACTGATTTAGGCATCTCACTACTAGATGGCGATTTGAAAAACTTCGAGGACAAGAAACTCTTAATATTGTCGTAAGTTAAACAACCCTGAAAGTTAGAAGAATACATATTTCTCTTGAAAAAAGATATCATTCAAACTTATTCTGCGAAACTAGATATTTTACAAACTTATAAATACTTTACTTTTTGCTTTTAATTATGTAGCATTTCAAGAGCAACCCCTCTTGATTTAGCGCCATCTATTAGAGTTTTATAACTCTCGCGAGAAAATTCGCGTCTATGTTGCTAGCAAGATGGAGGACTTGTATACAAAATTGAATAGATAGTTAAAATTATTGATTACAGGTACGTATGCAAATTTATACAGGGCTATTCAAACAAGAAAATAATTAATTTGTTTGTCCTTTTTCATTTATGTTAGTTCTTTGAAAATATTCAACTGGAAGCATTTTTGCCTCTGTTAATTTTAGATTTATTTCATTTCCCTGCTGAATTTGTCGCAAAAACTAAGTCAAAATGCTAGCATACAGCAAAGGCGGTGCAGTCATATATTTCATTGGCTTTTTATTTAGTTGTAAATAACGATATTGACCTTATCCTCTCTGTTCTCTTTTTTATGAAAGACATAGAAATCGTTAACTTTACCTTCAATTTGTAGCCAGGTGCTTGAATCGATTTCATTGATTTCATCAAGTTATCATAAGGATATTTCTAAAGAAATTTCACCTGACAGTTAATACATCTCATTGACTCAGTGTTGGCACAAATATACATAAGCTCAGTTACTGTACAGACAATAAAAGTGGCCTGTTTAAAGCTTTGTGTTGGTACACTTTGTGCTCACTTCTACTGTACACTGTGGCTGTAGCAAGTAACATGTAGAAGACTGTGTATAGGACAGTCTGTTGTTGGCACAGAACAAAAGACACCTCTCTTATTTTGGTTTGAATCTGCCACTTTGTGAAATGTCAGAGCTGACCTTGTTACAGCTCCTTGAGTATTCAGACTCCGAAGATGAATCATTTGAAGAGGATGACAATGTGTAAGTTATTATCTCTTTTTCTTTCCTTCTCTTTTAGTTTACAGTTAAGGTTTGAATGTCGTAGAACCACTCTTTGAGTCATCATTCAAGTAGATTCAGGCTAATCAACCAGTTCCTCCATCAAGATGATGGACCTGGACTTTGACGACATGGCGACCCCCATTCCCATGGATGAAGATTTTGAACAACCCTCACAGACGGATCTGTTTGAGTCTGTGATTGGGCGGGGATATGGGGAGAGTGAGGACGGGGCCTTCTCTGACAGTGAGGAGGAAGAGGAGGTGTATGCTAGGTATTTTCACACCAAATAAAATATTCTGTGTCTTTTGTATTTAGACACTGTTATGACCAGTATTACGATTATTATAAGATAAGTATTATTTTTTAACTAATTTTCATTATTATGGTGGAAACAAATTGAACTATGCACTAAAGTAAAAAGTAAAGTTTTTAAAATTATACACTTCTCTCTTATATCATCCATGCTTTCTGTTTATTTATATTTTTTTTCACTACCTAGATGTCTAAAGTGCATTGTATGTCTTTAAACTGTATTTTGTAATAATGTCTTATAATTTAATGCACTATATTGTGTTTAACAATTGTATCGAATTACTAGTATATTGTCTTATAAGCGTAATTGTCTTATAATGTGTTATATTATAACATCATGTTCTATTCTGTGTTATTGTATTCTAGTTTATTGTGTTTTCCTATATTGTCAGGTCTGGTGGAGACTTCCCAAAGACTACAGAGCAGAGAATTAACAGGCAGGAACAGCTGAGGATGCTACACCTGAGACGCTACCTGGATCAGCTCAGTGAGAAAGTGCTAGAGAAGGATTACATAGTACAAAAGACAAGGTACCAGTGCTTAGTTTTATAAGACATATATTTATAGTGAACCAGAAGTTCTCTCTACAAGAGGTTAGCTAAGTGAAGATGTCAGTATTGAGCAGACATTCTTGGTGAATGAATTATCCAGCAGATCTTATCATTTTGTCAAGTTGAAACTATTACTATTATATACTAATGTATGCTAGTACAGTGGCAGTTATAGTTATATGTTTCATAATAATAACACTGTTGAATAAGTTAAATTAATATTGGCTCATTTGGTTAAAAGATAATGTTAAAATGTTTCAGATAAAGAGTAACAGATATTTTTGATGTGATTTCTTTGATCACTTATATCTGCATGGTGATTATTTGGTGAAAATATTATCTTAAATTATTTTAATAAACAGTGACAGATATTTTTGATTAGATGTCATTGATTTTCTTAAATATATCTGGTTTGTTTCCAGACAAGAGCTACAGAAGTGCCGAGAGAGGCTAGAACAGCTGGAGAGGGAGCGCGACCAGGTGTTTGCACAGATGTCAGCATGTGACGCTGAGGGAAATGTGTAAGTGTTTACATCATTGACTCAACACTGAAGTTTTTAACTGAACTTTGCTTTTAGAATTAAGAGTACATGAGAATTTTTTCCAGTTCTTTAGACACTGTTTTATTCTGTAAAAGCAACTTATGTTTCAGTGCATTCTATAAATGACAGACCCGCTTGTACTTTTCGGTATATGTAGATGTATGACCAAGCATATAATATGATTTATTTAATTTTAAAAATGTAAATTTAATATTATCTGTATAAATAAAACATGATAAACATATGGATAACAAAAGAAACTGAAAACACTTATTTCCATTGTTTGGAATGATCACATGACTAACATCAAAAAGGATCAAATATTAAAAAGGTTGAGAGATCATAAAGCATGAAAAAATATAACCGCAGTTTTAATCCCTTCTCTCAATTTGTTGAGTAAGTACTGTGTACAGCTGTATAATTGACCTAAAATGAAACAATGCTACAGCAATTTTAATCCCTGTTTTTCTCCTTCTTCTTTCTGCTTGTTGACATTCAATCCAAACCCCTTCTGTTTCAGCTCTGCAGTGAACAGACTTCAAGCGCAGCATGAGAGAGTACTGCAGGAACTGGAGGATGAGGAAACATTGGAGGAGAAGATTAAAGAGACACTAGATAGCGCTGAGTGAGTACTGTGTATTTTCATACCTATAATATTGGTCCTTTTATATTTATTTATTTATTTATTTATTTATTTATTTATTTATTTATTATTGTATTACTGTTGCTGTCTTTGCTGTCCCTGTATTCATGAAGTTAAATTGTTTGCTAAACAAATATGTTGAAAATTTTCAGCCTTTTTTTTGAACATTAGCTTAATATAAAGAAATTTAGGGCTTAATTTTGAGTCAGGTGTTTTTATCATTATTATCATCATCATTATTATTATTTCATATTTTATTCTGTTATTATTATTATTATTATTATTATTATTATTATTATTATTATTATTATTATTATTATTATTATTATTATTATTACAATGATCTCCAGGTATGAGCTAGCCAAGGCACAGGTAGAGCAAGGGAAGTTCCTACTGGCTGACGAGGAGCTTAGGAAGAAGGAGGAGCAGCTGAAGGAAGAGAAGCTCCAGATGGCACAGACAAGGAAGAAGAAGGAGGATCACTTTGCTGCACAGACAGAGAAGAGGAGGAGGGCTAGGGAGAAGTAAGTCAGAGTATATATTCTTATAAATATCAAGCTTCAGAGACATAATAACTTTCACTCGGTCGTAATGTATAATATTTATCTAAACTTGAGAAACTGTATTGTAAAATAAATTCACACAGAAGATAAAGATAATATTACTTCATAATAGGTATAACAGTCAGTTAATAATGTATTTTAATAAATATTGTAATCTCCAGAGAGCACATCGAAGCCATCAGGGAGAGAGAGAGGAGACAGAGACAAGCCATGCTGGATGCCAAGAAGAGCAGAGAGAAGGCAAAAGTGTACCTCAAAGAGACAATGGCCAGGTGGGCTCTTGGTAGTCACTTTATTTTCAAAAATAGAATAATATATATTTTAAAGTTAAAAAAAATGCTTTTTCTACACTTTAATCAATGGAACAGTGATCTCCAGATCTCACTTGTGTACATGAGGCACATGTGAGTTTATTAAGTACTTGAAAGGGATTTCTTTGTACAAAGTGTAAAACAAAATTTCTCTTTTATCTTACCTGAATGTGGCAGATTTGGGAAATTTGGATAAGATAAATCAGTTTTACCCCTAGTTTCAGGTGTAAAACATACTGGTTTCTTCTTTTTCAAACCTGTATATGTGTATGCTTATCACACTCTGACTGTCAAAAGCAAGTTAAATCTATGAAAAAAATGATATTCATAGATCCATCTTACACAGTCGGGTGACTTGGTGCAGTAAACTTTAGTCAAAAGCCACATAAGTTCAAATATGCAATTCAAAGGCATTTTTTTAGGATAATTTAAAAATGAACAAGCTTGATCACATTGACTTTGAAACTAGGGCTACAGTAATTGCACTGTTTTAATTGTAACAAATTTTTCTCTTTTTTTACCCCCAGAATCCGCAGTCAGGATTTGGCCGAGGAACAGAAGAACAGAGAGGAGATGGAGAAAAGAATGTCCACAGCTTTGTCCTTGAAAACTGACATCATGAAGAACAGGGTGAGTTGGAGAACTGAGAAAATGAGCAATTCATTTCATCTGTTTTTCACAGTGTCGAATTTGCCTAGGAAGAGTGCGACACTTAAGTGTCACAGTGGTAATTTGTGTGCTAATTGTTGATTGGATGTCACCTGGTGTTCAGAATGCCAGTAAGAGCAGATTCAGAACAGCAGTTTAACAGATCTGTGGATCAGATAAGACCTACCCACCTGAATGCTTGTTGTGTATTCCCCGCAGGGAATCTTTTCAGTGTCTAATCGGGAATTAAGCAACAAGCTTTTTAGTGGGTCGCCATATTTGATCCATAGATCTGTTAGTCCACTGTTTTGAATGCGTTCGGAGATTGTACTCCAGCATTATTAGCTGGTATGAGTACCTCCTTCTCTTAATACACAAATACTATGCAGTTTTACAAATCAAATGCATGCCTATATACTTTTACGTACACTTTAGGAAAATCTCAAAGCACTCCAGGCTCGTGATCGCGCAGTAGAACGTGCAGCCAAGGAGGCAGAGGAGCGTGAACGACAGCGTATACTGGAGGAAGGGGGAAACCCAGAGGAGGCGTTGCTGAGAGAGAAAAGACAAGCAGAGTTTGACAAGTTAAAAGAGTGAGTTAAAGCTACAGCCACATTAAACATTCTCTGAGAGAACCAGGTGGAAAACATGTATCACAGCAGAGAATACTGGTGATTCAGAAGCAGTCTAAAATTAAAATGAAGTTGTTCTGTAGATTTTACATATTAATATATACAGTACAAAGAATTAAAAATAAAGCAATTGAATTATTATATAGTGCTGACTAGAAGAGACATGGGAGTTAAAATTTTAATCTTCTTTTTCAATTTTAAAAATCAGTGAACAATGTTTTACATAAAAACATATTTTTTAAATGATAGCAATTGAAGGATTTCAAGCAAGTATTAGACAGTATACAAAGTTACAAGCCTTTTTAGTAAGTTTCTCTTCAATTTATAGTGACTGTATAACTTCTTACAAGTTTTTTTTAATGAGTAATTCTGTGCCTTTCCCATCCCCCATGCAGACAACATGAGAGTAGACAGCGCCAACACCAGGTGGAAATAGCCCAGAGAATACTGCTAGAGGAGCAGCGCATGAAGAAACGCATGATTCAACAGCCCCAGCTGTGGAATGACCCAAAGAGAGAGAAAGCCAAGAGGGTGGCGCCACACAAGAGGCGGAAACTGAGGATCTTCCAGGAGAGCGAGTCTTCTTCCCATGAATACAGCGGAGATGTCGAGGATGAAAATGTGAGGGATTTTTTTTTTTTTTTGTTATTTTTTATTGTGAGAGTTCTCTTTTTTTGTGAGTGTTCTTCTATGAAATGTTTTGTAACACAGGGCAATGTCAGATAAGACTGTTTCAAAACCACTGGTATCCAAAATTATCTCAATAGAATTACATTTGACTTTCATCTTGCTTTGAAAAACATATATTTATTGCCTAGTTTGATACAAAGCATTTAGTGATAGGGAATATTTTTTTTTTACTTTTTTTTTTAAATTGTGTGATGATATTATAAATATCTGTCAATAATACTAGTATGGTGTATCTGTGTTAATCCTTCTTGTCCTGGTTCTCAGTCCCCACTTATGCACTGTATTCCAGATACCCCCCTCCCCAATGGACTCCAGGGTTTACATGCATGGACTCCAGTGGTGTGTAATAATATTACTCTGTCAATAAAAAAAAAAATTCTGTGTCAAACTTTCCTCCTCTTAAACTGTGTGCTGTATTGCAGAGACCCCCCATGGATGCCAGGATTCAGATGGACTCAAGTGATGAAGAAAAAGGCGTTCACTCCTCACCGTACGGCACCATCAGCAGAGCAGAGCTGCCAGACTCCGATTCTGAGAGTAGGTCAAGTTGTGGCATGAACATAATGTTGGTTTGTTCTTGGGGCACTTCTGTTTAATGGTTTATTGTTCCATGACTTGTTCTACTGTTATAGTATCATATGTGTCATATATGTTCTAATGAATCCTATGCATCATGTTGATCCCTGTCCCTGCTCTCTTCCCCAGCGGAGGCCAATGTGGACCTCGCCAAGCCAGAGTTTGAGGGGATGTGGGACAAGCACAAGCCGTACAGAGTCCCCAAGGACGCGGCTGAGCCCATTATTAAGCACCCCGGGGCCAGCAAGATGGAGCAGGACATTATGGTCAAGGTTTTGGACAGACACCGAGAGAATATTGTCTCTAAGCAGGTGGCCGCCGGACGGGAGTTCAAGGGTTGTCCCTTCTATAGCAAGCCTGATGTTATTCATTTCAAGGTGAGATGTAGGAAGACTGATGGACTGACGAACACACGCACTCTTTCCCTCTCTTTCTCTCTATCTTTTTTCTCTCTCTCTCTCTCTCTCTCACACACACACACACACACATGCACACTTTCTTTCTCAATCACACACATGTACTCAGAAGCAAATACACATGCACAAAGTCATGTCTCAATATAATCTCTGCTTTCCCAGGATTTTGATGTGGGTAAATCCTACAAGAAGAAAGTGACCCTCACCAATGTATCCTACACTGTCAACTACTGTAAGCTGTTGGGGATCACAGAGCACCTCAAGGACTTTATAGATGTCTTGTAAGTATATGGCTTGACATACGCTCAAAACAGGGGGTCCCCCTGTTATGGAAGTTTCGACATGTGATGTAATGTGGTTACAACTCTCATTAAATAATATCCAGCAATCCTTGTTTTGATATATGTCGTTTATGTTGCATATTACTGTTCAGCTCTGTGCTTTATATATGAACCATAACCTATGGTGATTCTCAGTACACACATTGTCAAATAAACATGAGTCATATGTATTAAAACATATATCATGAGATGCCATTACTTCAGAATGTTCAAAGTCCTTTTTAAATGTAGAAAGTTATCATGTTAATCTAGGTCTCCTTTTATCCCTAGAGACAGTTAGTTGAGATGTGTTTCTTTGATGAATGTGTTAGCTGAGATTTGTAATTGTGTTGTCTCCTCCAGGTTTGATCCTCCAGGTCAGATGTCAGCTGGACTCACTTGTGAAATGCTGGTCACCTTCAAACCCATGGTAAGCTGCCTGCTCTTAATGCTGTCTTCATTGTAAGATATAGGGCACTGATCCTGAAGAATAGGTTTGTGATTAAAAGGAAAAAATGGAGTTGGACAGTAAAGGGAGTGGGGTAATAACATACGTAATAAATATAATGTATTGTTGTGCTCACTGTGTATAACATTGTATTGTTTTGGTATTGCATTGCCTTGTATTGTATGTATGTATGTATTGCATTGCTATTAAATTTTGTTGTATTACATATTTATTAATTTTATAATTTTATGTAAAATGTGTTGCTAATTTTTTTCCAAAGATAAATGAAGATCTTGAAGGTGAAGTGAACTTCCTGGCACAAACTGGCCCTTTCTCCATCCCCATCAAGTGCACAACCAAGAAATGTGATGTAAGTACTTTAATTTACATATCAATATATAGGCCTGAATCTACTTACTAACTTAATTACATGTAACACCGGTGCATATAACACAAATATAAAAGCTCAGGATTATTATAACTTATTGTCATCGTATTATCTGGTGCTGAAAGTGTGACATGAATTCTTGGTGACAGCATTCTCTGTGTCATCTTCCAGCTGTCAGTGGACACCAGGGTGATAGACTTCGGGACCACCGTCATTGGGGAAACCCTGAAGAGGACATTTACACTCACCAACAATGGAGCTCTGGGCACACGGTTCGAGTTTGTGAAAATATCAGGTGAGATATGGTGACTGAAGTTCACACATCAGATCAGTAAGGAGTTAGTCGTAGACATAAGTAAAAAGAGGTGAATATGTAAGATAAGGGAAAGAACAAACACCCCATTTTTTAATGATTTTATTATTATAATAATAATTATTATTATTATTCACATCTGAAATCAATATATCAGATATACGTAAAAATGGGATAAATATGTAAGATAAGGGAAAGGAAAAACAACCCATTTTTCATTGATTCCTTTGTTTTAAATTTTTATCTTATTGTACCACCAGCGTTAGGCTCCGCCGGCTCCGCCGGACGGCTACCGTTACCGCTTCTCCTCCTAGACGGTAAGGGCCCCCGTACCCATCTCATGGATTTAGGTCACCTATAATCTCAACTCGTTCCACGTAAAATTTGGGCTTTGTCGGTATTGGGGTCTGGGTGTGGCACTCATTGCAATGCACCCTTGTCTAAAAATGGCAAAATTAAATGCTAATTATCTACCCTACGGAAGGAGTTATGGGAAAAATTTCTATAGACGGCTTTCCAA